TATCACGTGAATATGTCTAGAGTGGTATGGCGACATTGACATGGGAATATTTATCAATGGTCTATTGTATCGATATGTCTGGAATGTTCGTCGAGGACGTTTTGTGTCGATGGTTATAAATCAAGAGCGGAGAGTAAACCATCTGCGTGTACACTCATATATAAAATAGACAAAGCTTAAATTGTAAACCCCTTGACGTGGGTGATCGAGCTGAGAGAAGGCCGGAAATCCAGAGAATGGAATAGTTTCACTTAGAAGATTCCTAAAAGACTAATTTATGATAGACCATAGCCAATTCGTTGTTTTCGACCAAGTCACGAACGGTCCTTAAAAGCTACGAAGTCTTTCTCGATATCCTGTCTTTTCATGCACTCTAAGAGGGTCGTTAATTTCCTCAAGAGTTGCCTTTTGGCAAGTACAAGGTCTTGTCGTTTCCTATTTTCTCCAGGTCCCACGCTTTCTCGTAGCACATGTGCGCTGCAACGTTCTACCGTCTTGGCGGAGCGCCTCCACTTCCACGCGCCTGAGGGTGGACCACGGGCAGGAGAAGGGGCCCACGCAAGACGCGGTGGACTCCTCCACCATTGGACGAGGGATGATCCTGAGGAAGGATCCAGGATCCACGAAGAAAGGGGCATCGACCGACAACGCGCGAAGATCTCCTCCGCCAAGCGCAGAACCTTCAGAACGATTTTGTCAACCAAAATAGACGGATCTTTCTCACTCTGCAATCTAAGCGCATTTGATAAATTCAAAGTTTTGCTCAAATATTGAAGAATAAATCACAAAGTTAAAACAGTGAATTAACAGTTGGTTTTAATTCATTTTCTGCGCCTTCCAATCCCGAAAGTCCGTATTTTCCGCGAACGGACACGCAACACATGTACATCAGAACTGCTACCAACTTCCGATACAATCGTTACAATTACAAATGTTTTCTGGAGAGTTCCACGGCGGCAACCGTAGAAATCAGACGTGTTAAGAGAGCTGGTGGATTTAAGTAAAATAAGGAGTAGAATCGGGTGGGATAATAGAAATAATAGTTGGGTAGGGTTGTTGAGTAGAAGTAAATGTGAAGGGGGGTTTGGGAGTCCCACGGTGGCAACCATAGGAACCAGACATGTGTGGTACAGCTGGAGATATTAAGGAGTGTTTTTGGTTGAGACTGAATTTTAGAGTACTTGGACGGGATTCGAGAAGGTGGAAAAGTGAAGGGGGGTTTGTTGTTTTAATAAGGGGTATTTTTGAAATAAAATTTTAGTGGAAAAGTAAAAGAATTGAAAATCCGGAGGGCGGTGATCGCCCTAGCGGCGTTTCCCTGCCGCTGGGCGGAGGTGTAAAGAAAAAGCTCAAGAAAAAGAGCAGGAATGTAAAGAACAAAAGTAAAAGTGAAAGTGAGGCACAATGGAAAACAAAAGGAAAAGGTTTGGAAAGTGCTGGAAGCGAGGGTGAATTTGAAACGGAGTTTCTAGAAGAAGACGTTGAAGCTAGGAAGTTTTTCGAAAAAATACGTAGTAACAGAAGAGACCTACAGGTGGCTAATAGAGGACTAGAGGATTTAGTGGCCCCGGAGACGGAAGAAATTATAAACCCAATGTATGATCGAAACCGTTCAACCGAAGCGTTTTCGTATGTTAGATACAAGATGGCTGGAACGAGAATGCCTGTCCTCTCGATCTCAGCTCTCCTCGAATTCGTTCCCCCTTTAGTTTCGGCTCTCGAGTTTTCTAAACATTCGAGAGCGATAAGACCGGATGGAAATTCGGGGAACTGTCGTAATTATTTTACGTTTTGGTAGGATGTTCAGGATGAATCGAAGCTGGTTTATTAAATTACGAGTCAAGATTGATCCGGTATAAAAAGTGATAATTTATTTTCGTATTAAACAAGGGAAAAAGCCCGAAGGCATAAAAAACCCTTGATATTGTTATTTGAAAAAGGGAAAAAGCCCGAAGGCGTAAAAAACCCTTGAATTTGAAGTGTGAGTTTTGTGTGTGAGTGTGTCGCGCGTGTTTTGAATGATTTCGTGTACACGAGGTCGGGCGCCCATCAGCGATTGACTAATCGCGTGATAACAGATTTTTCGGGAAACAGTTCCCGTTGGAGTCTCTCGTGCGAAAGGACGTCCAATTATGATGGTACGGAAACCAGGTTCCGTTGGAGTCTCTTGCGCAGAGAGACGTCCAGCCGTCGTGAAAGACGTTAAATAATGTTTTATCGTCGTGAGAGATGTTAATTGATATTTGGTGGTTGACGACGTGATTTTAGATGATCAGATATTGTATTATTAAGAATTTACGTAATTACAATGAAAGAAAATTGTTTAGCCCCGAATACGCGATATGAAAGTATAACTGTTTTGACCGGTCGCGCCCGAGATCTGATGACGACTAACTTTCCTTTTGAACGCGATACATTTTCGGCTCCTCACACTTCTCGACGTTATCTTATTCTCCGAAGAGAACACCTCGGTGGTCCCTATCGGGCACGTTTTATAAATTGTTAAATTTTTTAACGAACGCTCGAACACCCAACATCAATGGAGTCCCTAGATTTCCCTAGAGAAAGTCCTTTGTTACCGGAAGAGATTAATAATACTGAATTAGAGGAAGTAGACATGTTGGAAAGCAGCTCGGCATCACACTTGGATGGGAAGGAAGTAGAGATAAGGTCGCATGTGGAAGTAAGTAAAAGAATAAAGAAAAGAACTGCTGAGGAAGTAGCAGACAAAACAAAAGAAGGTAAAAGACGAGATAATAAGGAAAATGGAGCTATTTTGGACAATAATAATGAAAATACAGATTTATTGCATAATGGGATTGAGGAACAAACCCCGGGAGACAAAGGAGTAGATAAAAACTTGGAAGAAAATATTAGAATAATAAACGAAAAGGACAGTAAGGAAGAAACAGAAGGAGCTAACAAGGCATATAGAGGGAAATCTAGAGGTGAACGGAAAAATTATTATTCGGAAGAGTTGAGAAGCAGAGAGTATACGTGTGCGTGTCTTAGCCTGGCCCATCTAGCTCCGACCAATCAGACCCAATTCCTTAGGAGTCTCAACTTAGTAGATGCGTACAGTAGTTACTGTGGCATTAAAGAAAGAAGCTACAAGCAAAACGAAACGCAATAACGCCGTAAAAATATATAAATTAATAAAAATGAAGGGTCGGTATCTAAAGGATTTAAAGATGGTAGGTTTTAACAAAGCTGAACTTACTTTCAGCGAAATGGCGGCGGCAAACGCAATTCTAAAGATGGCGGAGGAGGACGAGGCAAGTTTTGAGGCGTACCCTGCCGAAAAGAAAAAGAACAAGAAAGGGAATGATTACAGAATGGCAGGACTCTATAGAAGAATTAAAAGAAAATATTATCCCTGACCAAGGGGAAGTATCATTCGAACGAATGAAGAAGAAAATAGTGAAGGACGGGAAGAGTGAGTGGGTCAATGGTGTGGCAATTTTGGCCACATTTAAGGGGGATCGCCTCCCCACTGAATTGCTAATAGGTTACGGACATGTTGGACTGAGAATATACCCATATATAGAATCTGTTAAACAATGCTACAGATGTTTCGCTTATGGGTACGTGAAAATGCAATGCAGAAGCACTACTAGGAAGTGCTTGGTCTGCCTGGACAGAGAACATGGAAGATGCGAAAAAGCCCCAATTTGCATGAATTGAGGGGGAGAACATACGAATTTGTCAAAACAATGCTGGATGTATCAAAGGGAACGGGCAGTCAAATACTTTATATAAAAGTGTGGCTTATGCTACGGCGAAGGAGATAGTGGCAAGCCAACTAGGAGAGGATTGGAGTGAGGAAGCAGTGGGAAGAAGCAGGGGAAGTAGGGACTTCCCTGATTTGCCAACGAAACGCGTAGATTTCTGGGAAAGGAGAGAAGTTCCATTGGATATGGAATTGGAAGGGATTAGGGGAGCAAAAAAAACGATGGAACCCGAAAAAACAGAAGATAGGAGATGGGAGAAGGTGATCAATATCATACGGAGGAACAACACACAAATCGGTGGGAAAGAAAGAGGTAGACTGGGGGAGAAAGAAAGAGAGGAAAACAGAACTCTGAGCCTCAGAAGCCAGCTAGCCAAAGACCTGGAAACTCAATCGAACCAATTCGAGGTATTGCAGGAAGAAGAAATCGATGAACAACAGGAAGAAGGGGAATGCAGTTTTGGTAATGGGTTACCCGTGGAAAAGGCGATCAAAAAGATCAGCGCGGTAGAGCAGAGAACCAACAGGGCTCTAATAGAGAAACTCAAGAAAAAAAGAGAGGAGGAATTCCTATCAAACTTATTAAATCTGATTGTAGATAAAGGATATGAACAAGAGATAGAGAATATGTTAGCCAATAATAAAAAAAATGATCAATCAGAGGAAGAGGAGTTCATGGACTGGAACATAACCAGACACAACCCGGACTGGAACAGTCCCGGAAAAGATAAGAAATAAATTAAGAAGGAAAAAAGAACTGGCTGATAACAGAAAAACTGCACGCGAAACGCAAAGACGCAAAAGAAGCAATCGCAGTAAGAGCGCAACAGGAATACGGAAGAACGACAGGAGGAAGAATACAGGAGAAACCGCTTGGAAGAACTCATGAGAAGAATAGAAGACAGATTACGTATTAATAGGAATAATGGAAACGAAAATTAATGTATGGGACAATAAGGTGTGGTTTATGTGGAAGAATAACTGTAAGGCTTGTAATAATTTCAATTTAACACTTTACCGACTGGCAGTCGATTAATCGACTTTTTGTTCCCAGCGGTTACCGACCGGTAGGCGATTAATCGACTTTTATTCCACAGAGCTTACCGACCGGTAGCCGATTAATCGACTTTTTTATTTTCCGTTAGATTCGATTAGGTTAGACTGGCAAGTAGCAAGCAGCAAGCATTTCTTATTTTGTATTCTGATACTCGTTGCTTTGCTCTGGAAGCATCCATATTTTTATACAGTTTTTAAAAATTTAGCCTTCACGATGAATGAAAAGGATAGTGTTGGTGAGTTTTATCTCGATGATCTGTCAGATTGTCTTCACTGCTCTTCAGCAAGTGGTACTGATGACGAAAGTGATAGCAGTAATGTAATGATTCGAAAGCGACGTTCTGTATTACCACTAATATACAGTGATTCAGAAGACGATGATATAAATAATAACGTTGAAGACAGCAGTGGTACATGGTCCACGAACGACAAGACTATAATTTTGGAACCTTTCGAAGGCAGCCCCGGCGTAAAAATTATGCCAAGTTCCCCTAAAAGTGTAATGGATATTGTAAATTTATTCATTGGAAATGACCTGATTGAGCACTTGGTAAGGAAATCTAATAGATATCATTATCAAGTCATAGAAAAATATAGAATTATATCAAAAACGAAAAAATGGACAGACATCACAGTATCTGAAATGAAGAAATTTTTGGGTCTAATAGTTCTAATGGGACAAGTAAAGAAGGACGTTCTCTACGACTATTGGTCCACGGATCCAACTATAGAAACGCCATTCTTCTCGAAAGTAATGAGCAGAAACAGATTTTTACAAATAATGCAAAGCTGGCATTTTTGTAACAATGACAACATTTCTCCCAATTCGCATAGGCTTGCGAAAGTCCAGCCTGTCGTCGATTATTTAAAGCAAAAATTTAACGATGTATATAAACCAGATCAACAATTGTCTCTGGATGAATGTATAATTCCGTGGAGAGGTAGACTTTCAATCAAGACATATAATCCCACAAAAATCATAAAATACGGAATACTGGTCAGAGTACTGTCTGAAGCTCGTACATGATACGTATCTAACTTTTGTGTGTATGCTGCTGATGGAAAAAAATTAGAAGAGACTGTGTTATCGGTCATTGAACCGTATAAGAACATGTAGCACCATATATATGAAGACAATTATTACAATAGTGTCAACATGGCTAAAATTCTTTTAAAAAATAATGTGCGAGTGTGCGGAACAATTCGAAGGAACAGAGGTCTTCCTCAACCACTTCAAACGGCCAAACTTTCAAGAGACCAGCATGAATTTCGTAGAGATAACCATATTCTATTATAAGTATGGAATAATGGCAAAAGGAACGTAAATATGATCTCGACAATACATTCTGCACAAATAGCAGAATCTGGAAGCAGAAGTAGGACATCAGATTGCCCCATACAGAAGCCTATTTCAATAATAGATTACAATAAATATATGAAGGGCATAGATCGCGCAGATCAATATCTGTCCTATTACTCCATTTTTAGGAAGACAAAAAAATGGACGAAACGTGTCGTAATGTTCTTTATCAACTGTGCACTTTTTAATTCCTTTAAAGTATATACAGCTCTAAACGGAAAGAAGATTACATATAAAAATTTTTTGCACAAAGCGGCACTTTCATGGATAAAAGATTGCGAAGCTAAAGAACAAGATAAAGATCTACCTAATTCCGAATCCACAAGAATCACATCTCGATTTGATCATCCCGGAAGACTGGCAAATTTCGGAAAACATAAACTGGTAAATATAGTGACCAGCGGTCGATGTGAAAAACCCCTAAGACAATGCAGAGTTTGTTCAATTAAAAAAAAAAGAAGCAGAACAGGTTTCATCCGTAAATTTTGCAACGTTCCACTACACAAAGGTGACTGTTTAGAGCGGTATCATACTTTAAAAAAATATTAAACAACTTCTTTTTCGAAAAATATTGTTATATGGATTATGGTATATTTTATGTAAATATTAAACTGAAAACGATTGTAATAGATAAAATAAATATTGTTTAGCACTAATATCATTAAAATAAAAGATTTTATTAAATTTGGTTATCCTATAATAACACAAAGCGTACAATTTTACCAGAGCATAAGAAAAGCGCATATATTCCCGCGCGACAGTCTAAGCCGAAACCGAACCGGTGTCTCGGACGATATGCGGCTGAATGGCCGGTGAGAAGGGCATAGGATTCTCGAACCGCTACCGGTCGGTAAAGTGTTAAGGTTAGGATATGGAAGGATGGGAATGTGGAAATACTCTTCAGTAACACAATTGGATTACCCCTGCAAGAACAATTTTAATTTTTTGATATGTAAAAAAAGAATAGAATTACGTATATATTAGCATCAGCACGCATGCAAGGGTCGACACGTGGCAGAGTCAATGCATTTGAGGCTTTGACCTGCTTTTCAAGGACTCTAACCGACTTCTCAAGGTTCTTTGTAATGTCGATACCCCGAGCCATATGTCTGTCATCGGACTTGGGCCGGCGGTAGTTGATACTTGGGGTGCGACGAATTCTAAGAGTCGCGGATGTTTTGTATATGGAACGGCGATAGAGAGTTCGATCGCCGAGCTTCAAAGAAACGCGGATGTGGCCGATGACCCAAAGTCATGGTGCTGCGTGGCGCGTGCAGAAAGATAAGAATTCGAAATAAAGGATCTCGCCACGGAGTGGGAAGGGTCCGGGGACCCTCTGGCAAGAGGACTGTGTCAAAAGACACGGCACTTACCCGAGAACCTCTGATCGATCGTGATCTCTGACATATAGGAGGAAAGAAGTTTAGAATATGGTTAATGGCTAGAGCGAAAGTTAAAAAATCTTTCTTTTGGTTTCTCTCCTTTTTAGGGGAATTACCTTTTGCGCTATTTCTTCGTTGTGATTATTATTTTTTGTTAGGATACGATATTTGTATGGTATTTTGGTTTATAAGGAAGGACGTGTATGAAGAGAATATGTTGATAAAGAACAGGATGGACAAAGTATTAATTGGATATAGAATAGACCATTACTCAAGTGAAGTTAAGTATAAGTATTTTTGTATTTGGAAATTAAAGCTAGAGGTTGTTACGTTGCGCGTGCGGCGGCGCAACGTGAAAAGGAAAAAATAGAATAGTAGAGTAATAAGAGGAATGAATTACAATTAGATCGTTGCAGAGCAACCTCCTATTCCTTTCTTCCCCAATTCTGGCGCGATGGTTGGTATTCGCTGCCACCAGTCTCGAGCGCGTTAACGCTCTCGACAATTAAAAGACGAAAGACAAGATATAATTAACGAGATGTTAGATTGGAAAGTTTAGATTATTAGCCTTTTGTTGGGTTCGTCAGCGCTCTGGGTCCCATACGGATCCCTGCCTGAATCTGTATACGTTGGTAAGCGTGGTTTTAAAGTGAAAGTGTAGGGTGTGTTTGAAATGAATTTAAAACTGTTTTGGAAAATGAAACTGGTTTAATTTTGAAAAAGAAATGAATAACAAAATACATAAAATAATTTTGAAAAAGAAATGAATAACAAAATACATAAAATAATTTTTAACAAAAAACATATCCGACTTCGAAATGCACTAAAAAGTGTCAAATAATTTCTATTTCATTTATACCAATACTCCATAGCTATTAATAATATCTACTTAATCGTTAAATAGGATACCAAATACATTTCAAAGATTTCGGAGGCGGCGCAAAATTAAAAATACCCGAATATACGATGCTGCCAATAACGATTTGACTGCGGTATGGCAAACCTGGTAATTAATAAGTCGTAAAAAAAAATTCGAATCGTTATAAATACGTCAGAAAACATTCGTATTTTTAACGATTGTATCAGAAGTTGGTAGCACTTCTGATGTACATATATACTGCAATTCACGAGAGACCACACTTAACTCGCGCAGCTCACTAGGTCTGGGAACATTTTTAATAACGTGTGTCATTCCTCTCTTCAGCTTGCTTTTTACTTTGCGATCATTTAAATGGTGGACAGAAATATATGACGTACGATAACTGATAACCGATGATGATATGGTAAAGATACACGATACAATGAAATTCCTATTATTTTACAAAGAAAAAATTAAATCACACAGGTTATTAAAAATGTCCCCAGACCTACTGAGCTGCGCGAGTTAAGTATGGTCTCTCGTGAACTGCAGTATAGTTAATCCGCAATGGGTATGCTGATTCCCGTTGAATGTTGTTTACTTGAAATTATCAAATGGGTCATTTGTCATATGTTGCCGACGCCTGAACTAGGATCTTCCTAGTAGAAGAAAAGTTTATAATTTTGCGCCGCCTCCGAAAACTTTGAAATGTATTTGGTATCCTATTTAACGATTAAGTAGATATTATTAATAGCTATGGAATATTGGTATAAATGAAATAGAAATTATTTGACACTTTTTAGTGCATTTCGAAGTCGGATTTGTTTTTTGTTAAAAATTATTTTATTTCACACTTTTTAGTGGAACCTGTAGTATTCGTAGGATAGTGTAAGGTGATTTTGGATTTCTGTTGCTTAGCTAATAACCATAAACTGAAAAAATATTGACCAAAAAATGGGTAATAAACAACAAACTTCATAAATTTTTGCAAGTGGGATCATCGCGGATATACAGAGTGTCACGCGACTACCTCTACAGCCGAAGAGGGATAATTGCTAAGGTGATTCTAAACAACTTTTCCTTTTCCACAATGTTGGTTAAGGCTTGGTTTTCTAGTTGTTAACAAAAAACACCAAGCGGCTCAGGGACTGCAATGTCGGCTATGAAAACCGGGCCTGACGTAGGTCGCGAACGAACGGCTCGGCACCCCGTTGGCATAGCACAATAAAAAAACAGAACTGGTAGAACACTTTTAGTCGTTGTTTAAAATGAATACGGAACCTAATCTCTTGTCGCCTATCATAATGTTTTTGCTTTCAGCGTAGCAAGTTAATTTAGAAACGAATGGATAAGTCTCATTTAAATTGTTTTCAAATTTTGCATCATTAGCGTAGCCTCCAATTCAAAAGTTTATTAATTATTCCACTTCAAACATTTTTATTTGTTGTTTAGAATCCTTAGAATTTCCACTTTTACATTATGACAGGCGACAAGAGATTAGGTTCCGTATTCATTTTAAACGACTAAAGGTGTTCTACCAGTTAAGTTTTTTTATTATGCTATGCCAACGGGGTGCCAAGCCGTTGGTTCACGACCCATGTCAGGTCCGGTTTTCGTACCAGTCAATGCAGTCCCTGGGACTGCGCGCTATACGCGCTCGGATTGGTCGGTGTTTTTTGTTATTAACTCGAAAACCAAGCCTTAACCAACATTTTGGCAAAGGAAAAAGTTGTTTAGAATCACCTTAGCAATCATCTCTCTTCGGGTGTCGAGGTAGTCGCGTGTCACCCTGTATATCCTACTAAATATGAACGATACATTCATATTTTACACGATACATTCCTTGCAGAGTAACATCAAGGAATACATTTTTCGCTATGACAGTAGTTATTAACAAATTCCATAAATTTTTGCAAGTGGAATCATCGCGGATATACCTCCTGCTAAATGTAAAATGTTTCATCGCAATCGGTACATTTCCCGCACCATAAACGCCGGAAGATATAAATGAAGTATTACGTTTCTTGCGATAAAAGTCGTTACGAATGAAAATACACAAAAATTGTATTGCGGGATCAATCGGGAGATATACTCTACAAGATACAAAATTTTCAATCCGATTGGTCCATCCGTCTCGCGATAATCGATGAAAAATGTAAATCAAGCATTACGTTCTTTGTAAAAACATCATTAGCAATGAAAAAATGCAAAATACCTTTCTGTCGGGACCAAGTGGGAGAGATACTCTACAAGATGCAAAAAGTTTCGTTCCGATTGGTCCATCCATCTCGGGGAAATCGGCGAACATACATTGAGAAAAGAAAGTTGTTAGGAATGAAAAAATGCAAAATATTTTTTTAACGGGACCAATCGGGAAACATACTCTACCAGATTCAAAAGGTTTCGTTCCGATTGGTCCATCCGTCTCGGCGTAATCGGTGAACATACATAAAAATAAAAAAAAAAATAAAAAAAAAACATACATACACATCGAATTGAGTATCCTCCTCC